GAGACGATTTTCTAGATAACTGTGAAACCATTTAAGTGGGCAGGCTCCGAATCCCATAATGCTCTAATTTTTGTAATAAAATGTGGTGGTCAATTGTATCGAATGCTTTCTTTAAATCTATAAATATACCAAATGTGATGTAACCTGCGTCCATTTTGTCTGTGATGTCAGTAATTAGATCTACAAGTGCAAGTTTGGTATTGTAATGTTTGCGAAAACCATATTGAGTCGGCAAAAGAATATTAAATTTATCAAGGAACGCTAAAAGTTGGGATTTAACAACAGATTCAATAATTTTGCTTAGAATTGGCAATAAGGAAATGGGTCTGTAGTTGCTTATTTCTAAAGGTGAACCTTTTTTATATATGGGGGTAATTTTAGCGATTTTTAGTAGATCTGGGAAAATACCTGTAGTAATGGATAGGTTGATGATTTGGGCTAGGGGACTAGCAATGTGTTGGGCAGCATGGATTATTGTTTTTGGATGAATATGATATGGGCCCATAGCTTTGCTGGGATCTAAACGCCCGATCTCATTAATGACGTCATTTTGACTAACTGGACGCAGGAAGAAAGAAGCTGTGTAATGATTATCAGAAAGGTAGTTTGTAAAATGTTCAGGAGAATTGATTTGAGCAGCTAGGGCTGGTCCAACATCAGTGAAAAAATCATTGAAATTCTGTGCAATATCGATATCCTTTGACAAAACTTCCCCCGTATTGGATTTAATAACCTGTCTTGGAGACATAGAAATATTATTGTTTAAAATGCTATTTATAATTTTCCAGGTTTTATTAGTATTTCCAGTCGAAGACTGGAATTTGGCTGAATAATAGTTTTTTTTAGCTTTTTTGAGCAGTTTTGTCAGAAGGTTTCGGTATATCTTGTACTTGTTACCAACTTGAAAATTGTTGGGAGACCTTTTCATTTTAGAAAATAATTTGTGTTTTGTTTTAGTTGAAATAAGAAGACCTTTCGAGAGCCAGGGCTTACAAAACGATTTGCTATTAACATTACATTTTTTAATTGGGGCGTGCCTTGATGCAATAGCACTGAAAGCATCACAGAAAATCTTGAGTGCCCGATTTGGTTCATCACAATTATAAATTGGCTGCCAACATGTATTGTTCAAATCGGAAACAAATTTGTCACGGTTATAATTTGAGAAGTCACATTTGTAAAATATCTTGCCTTGATTGAAATGATGATGTAAATTTTCGTATATAGAAAAAATGGGAAAGTGGTCACTATATATTAGTCATATTAACGTAGCCACTGTGCACAAGTAACAAGTAAAGAGGAAGAAATGCAAACTACGAACACGTGTTATTTATATATTGTGTTTTAGAATGTGGGTGACGGCCAAAACATTTCACGAACATGGATCATAATACAGACTGCTTAGCTGAAAGTTCAAAAATCTCGACAAATCAAATAATTCAATCTTATTATGAGGACCCCAATTTCGTTTTCTAGATTTTTTTCAAAAAGTCAATTTTAAGAGAACTTCTCTCACATTTGGTTATAACCGTCTTTGTCAATATTCAAGTGTAAATAACAAAACAAGCGTGTCGATGCAAAGTTCGGCGTTTGTATATTCTCAGATTTGTCATGATTTAACGGTAATAGAGGGCCGAGTATTGAACCCTGGGGAGTTCCACATTTAACTTGGTTTGGGGGTGATACGGTACCATTGACATCCACTGTCTGGAGACGATTTTCTAGATAACTGTGAAACCATTTAAGTGGCAGGCTCCGAATCCCATAATGCTCTAATTTTTGTAATAAAATGTGGTGGTCAATTGTATCGAATGCTTTCTTTAAATCTATAAATATACCAAATGTGATGTAACCTGCGTCCATTTTGTCTGTGATGTCAGTAATTAGATCTACAAGTGCAAGTTTGGTATTGTAATGTTTGCGAAAACCATACATATTGAGTCGGCAAAAGAATATTAAATTTATCAAGGAACGCTAAAAGTTGGGATTTAACAACAGATTCAATAATTTTGCTTAGAATTGGCAATAAGGAAATGGGTCTGTAGTTGCTTATTTCTAAAGGTGAACCTTTTTTATATATGGGGGTAATTTTAGCGATTTTTAGTAGATCTGGGAAAATACCTGTAGTAATGGATAGGTTGATGATAGGGGCTAGGGGACTAGCAATGTGTTGGGCAGCATGGATTATTGTTTTTGGATGAATATGATCTGGGCCCATAGCTTTGCTGGGATCTAAACGCCCGATCTCATTAATGACGTCATTTTGTCTAACTGGACGCAGAAAGAAAGAAGCTGTGTAATGATTATCAGAAAGGTAGTTTGTAAAATGTTCAGGAGAATTGATTTGAGCAGCTAGGGCTGGTCCAACATCAGTGAAAAAAATCATTGAAATTCTGTGCAATATCGATATCCTTTGACAAAACTTCCCCCGTATTGGATTTAATAACCTGTCTTGGAGACATAGAAATATTATTGTTTAAAATGCTATTTATAATTTTCCAGGGTTTATTAGTATTTCCAGTCGAAGACTGGAATTTGGCTGAATAATAGTTTTTTTTTAGCTTTTTTGAGCAGTTTTGTCAGAAGGTTTCGGTATATCTTGTACTTGTTACCAACTTGAATATTGTTGGGAGACCTTTTCATTTTAGAAAATAATTTGTGTTTTGTTTTAGTTGAAATAAGAAGACCTTTCGAGAGCCAGGGCTTACAAAACGATTTGCTATTAACATTACATTTTTTAATTGGGGCGTGCCTTGATGCAATAGCACTGAAAGCATCACAGAAAATCTTGAGTGCCCGATTTGGTTCATCACAATTATAAATTGGCTGCCAACATGTATTGTTCAAATCGGAAACAAATTTGTCACGGTTATAATTTGAGAAGTCACATTTGTAAAATATCTTGCCTTGATTGAAATGATGATGTAAATTTTCGTATATAGAACAAATGGGAAAGTGGTCACTTATATCTGAGAGTATTGTATATGTATTGCTATTACGTACTATTTGATTACAGTAAATGTGTAATACTACTTTCGCAGAACGCCATACACGTAAAACACACCTGCTTTGTTGTACGCCCTCACCGTTACATATATCACAGTGTTTAGGGGCAAATCTTGTGACATTTGGGAAATAAACACTTTCTCTGTTAAATGCAGCGTCGTTGGTGGTACAATTTCCTCTCCTCCAACAGTGGTTCCTGCTCTCCATTCGTAATGGGATATCTGTGACTGTGGGTCATGGAATCCGTACCAGTGTGCAGCCATTGTTGATCTGTTTGAAACCAATTGTTGTTGTTGTTGTTAGAGATGTATACGTTTAAAGAAATTTGCACAATATCTAAATTTGGTGACTACTTGTGCCACCAATGCAGGATGGAGTTTCTATAGTAATTGGAAATATTATATATAGATATGTCGCTCATATCAGTATCATACCTTGATGTTTGATATGCAATGTCAGGACCACTAATCCCGTCATGCACTGCGCCTCGGACTGGGGGAGAGTTATCTATCAGGACACCGTCTGACGTCACTGTTGTACATAACTTGGCAGCATTGCAAGCTATAACGGTCGTATAATACGTGAAACCAGGTTTCAAATTTAGGTTATCTGCTGTCATCTCTGAAATTAAGCAAAACAAATATGTGGCGTTTAGAGCAAAATTGATATGCATACATATTGTACTGTGTTGAATCGTGTCGAATTGTATTGTATTGTCACTTACCAGTTACTACACCAACATACTGTTCTCCCCTTGTATCATCACAAACTTTGCATGTACCAATTGCCCATGTATATGTAGCAATACCAGTATGTGGATCACTAAAACCAGTCCACCTTGCCGTTAAGCTGCTCAGATCCGTCTGTTATTTTACAAAATAGATATTAACTCAATATACATTGTATTTATTTTAAAGCAATTGATATTTGTCGCAGCCAATCACAAATAATTTACCTGAACATCAAGGTCAATTTGATCAGCAGAAACAGTTCCATCATAAACATAACCAGCAATTGGGGGTGACGCATCAACAATAGTGGCCCATGATGTTGCCATGGTTGACATTCCAGCTCCATTGTATGCCTAAAAAGTAGAATCAGTACAATTATTCAATTCGCAAGTACTATCAACTTATACAGGAATATTACAAAAACATGTGTATAACATGGTCGGTAAGGGGGACATGTATCCGGCATATCCCATGTGTGTAATAAACTATACCCAACGCTTGTCTAAAATAGCTCTTACCTTAACTGAAACATAATACGCATGGCCTTCTTTTAATTCAAGGTCAATGTTTTCATCCGATGTTCCTTCTTCGGAGTTAATAACAGTAAACGGCATAATATCTGCAAAACCTGGGAGTGACCCAACTGCCCATTCATATGTAGAAATACCTGTATATATATAAAAACGAAGAAATCAATTTATATGATGTAATATACAAGAGTAATAAACATCGAACTATGAAGACTAATATATTCTTAAGCTTATAATCACATTCATTGCATGTCCACTTACCACTTTCTAAATCAACAAACAGTCCTCGCCAACTAGCACTGACAGATGAAGTTGAAACATGGAAAGACCCGCCAATGTTGATTTTCACATCTGTCTTCTGTGGTGGCGTTGTATCTATGGTGACTCCGGGTGATACAGATATAGTGGTGAGGCCCACAAAATCGGTTGCTTAAAAGAACGTAAACACATATATTTTAGTTGCCGATTGTTTAATGATAGAAACGTAGTGTAATAATCACAGTAAAACATTGCTATGCTAAAGTTCATGTAAGACCAAATTAATTGTCACCTTTTATGGTAGCGTAATATGTATATCCATCCTGTAAATCTAAACCATGAGCCACAGCTCTGTTTGTAATTCCAACATCTATGAAGTCCTGTACATCCACTCCATCTGGTGAAGACCCTGAAACAGGAAAAGGAGTGTGTAATAACTGTCGTTTCTGTTTTATTTTTAAGGAAATATTTGAAACTGGAGTTGGTAGCACATAATATACTTTTACGAATATGAATGACATTTAGGCAGAAAATGTCTTTACCTCGGAAGCTAAATACTCACCAATAGCGTATTCGTATTTTCGAATTCCTGAATGATGAGTGGTACGGCCTTCCTCTTCTACGTCAACAAATGACTGCCAGTTAACAACAAGTTCAGATATAGCTGACTACACAGACAAGTATTGAAGTAGAAAACAAAAATATATGTATATAATGATTAATGTTTAAACGTAGTTATGTGATTGTTTTTATTGTAGTTGATGATAATGTATAGCATCAATCGTGTTGAGCTGATATATGACATCGAATGGCAAACAAGAATATAACCACTCACTTGGTAATGTTGTTCTCTCCATCCAATCCATACATTGCCTTGTAAAGGTGGGCTTTGGTCAACGGTGATGCCATCAGAACACACTGATATCTCTGGTAGTAACACTTCTACATATTCATATACCTTCTTTGTGGCATTTGAATATATGCATACATAATATCTTTGGCCATGAACTAATGGTAGATCGTGAATGTTGATAAAGTTTTCCTTTTATAAGATAAATTAAAATATTAACTATAAGTGTCATGGAAGAATATTAACTTGAAATTCATGCCTCTTGGGCTTTACGTTGATGCGAACTATTCTTCATTTGAATGATGGATTGATGTGGATTTTGTTTATATATGCCCTAACGTATAAAAAGCCTCTCATAAAACTTATATCAGTGAACTTACATTTGTACTTCCACAGGCCATCACTTCTGGTGAGCTACAGTCATACTCCTCATATGTAATATGTCCATCGTTAGATGTCAAATACGCCCAGCGTTGAACGCTGTCATCAGATATAACCTTCCAGTCATACTGATTATATCGTAGAGTAGGCCATACTGCCGCGAGTTTATGTGTGGCCCGAGTATATTCAGCATCAGGCTGGTTCCAGTGGGCGTTTATTTCAAGAAATATATCCCTATAATAATAATAATGGTGTTATATGGTGGGAATTGAACTTAAGTGGCTTTGAGAAAACGATAAAGTATGTCGGACACAGTAAATTTTTAGTATTTCAGTACAAAAACAGGTGCACTAACCCATTATCATTACTCTTTTCATCCCAACTACCAGAGGCATCTATCACTATATTCGGTACAATCAGTACAGGATTGTATGCATCACAGTCGTATATGTCTTTATATACAGTGGTGTAGAGACCAGCTTTAGTGTAACCACGGAGACCAATTTGTAAACACTCAGTGAATTGTAAGCTGTGATCAAGTGATGCTCTATAAGTCATCTATAAATCATAGAAGTCATAAAGTTTAGAGTGTTGTTAGGAGCTAGCTAAACATAATATAAATATGTCTTCCTTATAATGTGGTAAAAGTACACGTTTACCTCGTCCCCTACATGGACAGGGTCTTCTAATAACTGCCAAACAAACAAGGCATCACCATGACGACTGTTGGTTTTGATAGTTATTGTCCACTCATAATAATCAATGTATTCAATAACGTCACGACCGGTCATCTGTAGATTGTGTCCAAAACTGCGCCATGAGAACTCCAATTCATCTGTCTCACTGTGATCAATGATAAAAACAATCAAACGTGCAAAACTGTATTACATATTTTATAATTCATAGAATAAGCTTTCCGAAAATATATAGTTTTGTGGACAAGAAAGGTCATCTTGGTTTCCTAACTAATTAAAATACCTGTCAGGTAAACTGCATCTCTACCTTAATAGAAAACGTCAGTGTAGATATCAGTGTAAACACAACATATACCATCATCTTCCATCAGTTTGCATTCATTTGAACAAAGCACTGCCATAATATGGTCACTGTCAGGAGGTGGTGTTTACATAAAAATAACGGTTTATATGGGTATAGCATCATCTTAAAAAGGAGGTCCCTGTGTATATCTACAACATTCTACCTGAAAACATTGTTCATGATATAAGATTTCTCCATTCCAAGGTGTTTACTTACTTGTAATACTTGACATATGAGATGCCTTCAGATGATGGTGGATATGGCAGAATGGTGACGCCATCACTGGTGACTGGTTGAAAACACCCGACAGTGTAGCAGAATTTCACGATAGAACGATAAATGTCACCGGGATGAAGTTGCATAGCCGTGTGAGCAGTGTAAGCCATACCAAGGTTTTCAAAGTCTTTCACAAAGTCCCATACATCAGATCTACAGATCAACAACCACAATGTTAATTAAAATATACATTCATGGAATAGCGCATTACAAAATATAATACGTTAAAGTACGTTATAAATAACAGAACATTCAAAGATGAACAGAACAGGAGTTATCTGAGAGAACACTCACCCATTTGTACGTTCAAGTCTCTGCACTCCCCAATGAACATCTGTAATGTAATCACTTATATCACCTGATATGTTCCAGTATGAGGTAAGTGAAGACATTGATGCCTGAAATTCAAGATCTTCCTGGCAAACATGACGTCCATCGTTACTATGGTGACTGAAGGTTCCAGTATTCGTGTGTTCTGTCGGTAAGCCTGAAACTGAAAAATAAGTGTGTAACAAATTAAATTGTCTGCAATAAGGTTCAACCACAGTGACGATATAAAATTCACAATAGTGATTATAGTATTTGTCATGTGTACATAATTCTCACTACAGCTATTGCCAGTAAACAATGTCAAATGATTCTTTTATAAGGTAGCTTGCAAACAAAGTAACTTCAATTGTCCAATTGAGATATATTCCATACCTGCTCCAGTGCATCCCAATCCATCATAAACCTTTGCTGACATCAACACATCTTGATCTGAAAGTATCCGAACTCCATCAGAACTCACTGTAACACTACCAACATCATTGGACGCTCTTACGGTAGCGAAGTATTTCTATATAATCAAAAAAATAAAACAAACACAGACATTGTAAAAACACGGAAAACATTACTCAATGTATTTTTAGACGTTGCGCATATCTTGTTATATTACCTTGAATTTTTCTAAGTTCAGTCCATTAAAATCAAGATATGTTTGGCCCACATCCGCAGCTTTAAAACCAACAACATCTTCTTCCCCAGGTGTCGTGCCTAAGGCAGCTTCATAACGCACATCCAGATATGGATGGGAAAACCCAGACCATCGGATATGTAGTGATGTTGTAGAAGTCTGGAAATCTATGTCATGAGGTTCCTGGGAAAGATAAGGTTCTGATTTTTCGACAATGATTCCAGAAAATACAGTTCCAAAACACGTAAGTGATCAATGGCTCTAGCCACATGATCCAAAAACTAAGTTTAAACAAAGTACCTTTACGCTTTACTATCGTCATATAATCTATCATAAAATAATTACAGTACAAATATAATGTATCCATTGCATGCAATTTAAAGTGACGTCACTTACCCCATATAACTCAGTATATTCACTTAGTGGAAGGATATCACATACAATGCCTTTCGATGGTGGATCAACCACATGCCTGTAAGCTGCTGACTTTGCAATACTGATTAACCCAGCAGTGTTTGTTACGCGGATGAATACGTAGTAGGAATGATCCCCGTGTAGATGCCAATTAAGTTTATCAACTGATATAGAAACACATGACGGTGGTCGTTCAGATACACATAGATCATTGTCATGATGGTCGTCTAAGATTGTGAAATCTAATATGTTTGTATCATGGGTAGTTGTACCTGTAAAACCATAATAATATATCACTTGATAAAACTAATACTTCAAAAGTATTATGCGCTACATCACAGGCCGGGCGTTTGTTATAAAATACACTACTATTTGATGTGGTGATTACTATTCTATGTAACACAATTGTTTTTTGTTGTTGATTGTTGCTGAATAATGACTGAAATTGTAATGACTGTTTTTAATCATGTTTTCATGCCAGATGGCATTTACTATGTTAAATTTGCATGAAATTGTCAATATGTACACAAGTAGGATTCAAGCATGGGATCGTCAGAGAGAGTTGATAGTATAAACAAGAATGCTATGTTGGGGGCTGCACTTTTTCTTTCCGCAACAAGGTTTTCAATATGGATAGGGATCATGTACGTTTTACAAGGTTGTCATTATTAGCTAAGCTTCAGAAAAGGGTTGACAGATTAAGATATGGCTCTGCGTGCCAGTGTTACTGTTTGAATCTGAGTAAAAAAATACTGTCACCAGAAAATATTGTGTGATGTTATCTCAAACAATGGGAAATGGTGGGGATCACAGTTACACATATGATAATTGCATTTATTATTTCAATACAGGTATACAAATGCAGAGACATGAATATGGCTGTACATATGCACAAAACAAAAAGCGAATTTCATCTGCAGACTTACCAACGCCATACTCAAAGCGTATCGGAGGCTCGGCATCTTCCCCGTCATAAAAATCGTCTTGGTTCCAACGAGCCACAAGGTAACCTACATCACTATATGTCTCCAAGGTAACATCAATGTCGCCAGTGAAGACTGGGGGTGTCACCTCAACAAAGAGTGGTCCAATAATCTGTGAACAATGTAGTCATATATTTAGCATATTATGCTGGTTATACTAACAGAACGAATTCACTGTTTCAAAGAACAATGAATACAAAAGTAAAACCCATCATTTGACTGACCTTTGTTTGTGTCAACTCTGCTCGGTTGATGGATTTCAAAACCACATAGAATTGTAAACCTTCAGCCAAATTAGGGTGGTAAGTAAGAAAGTTCCTGTGTGAATTGGTGGAGGTAAATGGTAGTATGTCAGGACTCAGTCCAGAAGATGTGGAACATAAACCAACTTCATAGTCGTATATCCCGCTTTCAGGATCATCTCCTTGCCAACTCAAAGAGAACTGAAATATTGAAAATAGCCTAATAAGTTAATGCACCATGGGTGATGACATGTATCTATTCGATCATAATGCATTTCCTATCAACTACATAACGACTAATGTGAAGGTAAGTGTATACTAGAGTAGTTGAACATACATGGTTTATTTTATTGTAATATATAACAGTTGATAAAGGTCCAGCATCTATGCATTCCGTATCAGTACTTGCAATAACTTCAGATGGGTTTAAAGGCAGTAGTTCTATATCACTGTCAAGCCTTGCTACATTTCTGTAAACAGATCAAACTATTTATTGCAATAACAAGCGTTGAGGTGTTTCCTTTTTCAAATAAGAGGAATGAAATCAGGATTTAAGACAACAAGAGTATTGTTCATATACCTGCATTCGTCTGAAACATTAACTACTTGGTGGCGATATCTAGTAGTATTCACCATCCACACGTAACCATCACCGTCCTTGATCACACCAGCTTTTATAATAGCATCATCTATGACAATTTCACTGAGTGTTGGTGGTGAAGTATCAATGGTGATACCATCAGAACAAACTGGATTTGATGGTTCTAATGCTCGATTATATGCAACTACAGTACAATGATACGTTCCTATATCTGGGGCGGTCCATTCTGCATATGTTGAAGTTGTGTTTATAGCCTAACAAAGAAAAAATAATATAAGATAAGTTCGATGGTTTACCATGTGAAATTCAAAGACAAGTTATAAATAAACAAGTTTGTTTCACGTACCGGCTCTGTTATTGGAATATCAAATGTACCATCTTGCATTTCTGAACAACTTTCGCTAAAGATGTAAACATAAAAGAGTATCCCACTTTCTCTGTCAAAAAATCCATCCCAAGATGCGAATATTTGAATGTCCTGTTGATAGTCCAAGTCCGTTTCTCCTGTCCGGCTATCATGTACAGTGCCCTCATGTGGCGGACTTGTGTCAACCGTAACCTAGTGTATGTGATGCATATATAATCTATATTATCAGTGTGGTATTGAAAGAATTAGGATGTACAACTCCATTATAGTATACTTTATACTAGGTAATAATTACATACCCCGAATTTACATCATTTACAAGTTCCTACTGAGGCTCCAATGATAGGCAACTGGTATTGACTGCCAAACTAATACGTTTGACGTCATGCTATCGAATGCGCGACTGTGAATGGTGAAATGTTCAAAATAATCCCAGCGATGGAAATAACTATCGCCAGTTGAGTATCATATTAATGAAATTCGTGTGTCCATGACGAACACAACACGAGACAATGATTATATAAGTTAACAATGATAACAACTACATTCTTACAGACTGCTACAACACTGTACCTGGAAGGTCTTTACATCCACAAGCATGGCGTTGTTTGTTACTGTGATGGTGAATAAGTAATCATGGTCGTGGTTTCCAGTTGCTAGATTTAATTTATTGGCATCAAGTTCAATTGCATAATCTCTATAGTAACATTCGTTGTTTTTTTGTATACATCCGCAGTTCGGAGGGTCACATGTAGTATTGCCAACCTTGAAAACAAATGACGTCATATAGTTACCATCATGCATAACGCACAGTATTTAATTTCCCACAATGCCTCAAAATCACACGTGAATACATAATATTTGTGTTTGAAACACTTTAAGGTAATTCGAAACATTACGGAGATGCGTCGAAAATTAATCAAAATCATTCGTTACATTTCAACATCAAATACACTTACTATTGGTCTTCTGACAGCAACTTGACCTTCACCATGAACCACATTACCGTCTGCCATGTCTGCTAGTTTCCAGTGTATGTTATGTAACCCGCTGTGATCGTCATATGTTTGGAAAACAACCCTGTTTAGGAATCAATGAGAAACAAGATCATAGATATTTGTAACGTAGCCCGATAACAGGCATTGCATTTGTATATTTTAGAACAATGATGTGTCAAGTGTAAAAGAATAACACGAAATTGTGACCAGTCATTGATGAAGTATGCCCGACATGTCTTTGACACACGATCCTCTAGAAATGTCCGATCAAAAAATGAAGAAGATTGTTTCTTTAGATGGGTAAAATCTGTAGAAATATTTATGTTGTTTAATTATGTTGATGTTTATGGATTTTACAATATCAAACTGTATGAAAGTCGTTGCGGTTTGTGATATGATATGATTACAGCAACGTAGTTTGTTGTGGTTATTGCTGGTGGTCATCTTTGACTACACCCGTAACAGTTACTGTACCTTGGTCTAATTTTGAGCTAGTGTGTGAATGATTTGAGAAATTCTAGAAAGGAGTACATCATGCATTTCACCAACCTCATATCATACAGGTCAACAGAAATGTGCACTGCTAGCTGTGTCTGTCCATGTCTCATTAACGATATATCATGGATTTCTGGTGGCGATGAATCCACGTGAATCAGTACATCATCCTGGTTTATATTGCCCATCACGTCTGTAGCTCTCACCCATAAATGAATGGAATCGCCATCGTTGCGTGGTATGTCGAATCCCTGTTGCTCCACCTGAAGACAGAGAAAAAGCAAATGTGTTTGAGATTATTCACAGCTTGATCAAATCCGATAATAGGTATTAACTTAAATGAAGTACACATGGCTAGCCCTGTATATGTAATGGTGGGCAGATTGTAGTGCAGAATGCGGGTATCATTACATAGATTGGGCCGATCACAGCATAAAATTGAAAAAATCACACTAGGGGGGTCACTTATGCATACACATTAGTCAGATACATAAGCTGGATACTGGTCATCTAATTAGAATGTGAAACATATGTTAGAAATGGACCAACAAAAAACGCCCCTTCATCACGCGCCATTGTCGACATTACGACCCACATCTTGTTAACGTTCAGTCTATCAAATTCAAAATACAAGTTAATAATTCCTTGACCACGTATTATAAGTCATAATCACAAGATGCTTGTAGGTCGTTTTGTAGTGACAAGGAGTACTCGGATACCACTCGTGCCGTTAGAGGGCGTTGTGCAATCCCGGAACGTCGTGGTCGAAACTAGCACATTTTCTCCGACCTAAACTAGCCCGGGTCGAGATCGGGTTAATCTGTTTCCAAAGAAAAATAAATATGAAAATTAAAGAATTCCTCATTCTATGTTTCTAATAAACATTCTTACTCACCAAAATATCATCAACGTCTTGCCAGTTACCAGTAGGAGAAGTGATATTGCGCCCTCCCCGGTGGTCTATGCCGTAATTTACTTCGAAACGCACGACTGCATTGATATTTGGTATTGCCTCACGTGATCTGGTAGTTGGAGGTTGACCTGTGACTTCTTCATAATCTGACGTCAATGGAGGTGAATTATCTTCAATGGCATTCAGGAATTTATGTTCCCTGTGGAACCAGTTATAGAAGTGTCCTGGCCATTGCATTACTACCTGTGAGGGGATCAAAGCATGTGCCACGAGTTAAGAAATGTTTTTTTTTTCTCAACAAGAAAAAGGGATGACGTATTTCGCATTCAAACCATCTAAGCATTTTACAATCGGAGTCGCCTATGAGGTTGTGCGACCGATAAGTTGAGTGTTTCTGTGCCACATATAATACGCATATAACATGAATGCTTTGCTTATCGCATCATTGTCCGACGTTCGTGGCGCTATCATCATCGCTTCTACATTGTTTGAAGAGTACATTCACACAGTTATTATTCCATTCGACTTTGATATTACTAACGGCTTCCCGTGAAGATATACAATTTTCGCTGAGGTTTATCAACATTAATAATCCACATGACTGACTTACCTGTGGCCCAGTATTACTGGGGTCTTGAAGATCAGTTTGCCAAAGGTGGGTACTATTTTCCGCTGCAGAGTCAACCCAGATAGGGAACTGGTCTGTTGTATTAACTCCGTTGACATCATCAAATATTAGGAATCGTCTGGCTCTATTATGGTTACCCGCTACGTCATCAACAGTAAGCATGACACAATATACTCCTGGAATGTAAGGATATGTTAATTTACTTATTTAATATGTTGAATTTATCTGTTATATGAGCTGTAATTGTATTGCACGTATGTAGCTGGTATATCCACTATACCCGTGTCACTCAATGAGATAGTGAATGAAGTAGATGATATATTTACTCTACTTAGGTCACTTAATGATATAGTGAACTGGTTATGTGGAAGATATGTTATACCTGATAACTCAATGATATAGTCGAGGTGCAGATGGTAGACGTACTATACCTGGGTTTCTTAATAAGATACCAAACTGTGTGGCTGGTAGGTCTACC